CTCCCATTGAATTATGGGATATTAGGATGATACAGAAAAGGATTCCAAACAGTCAAGGGTTTATAGCAGTTGTTACTGAGTGCTAGAAGTTTTCCATAAAAATATTAATATACTAGAATTCAAGTAAAAAAGAGCAATATGCTTATAAAATGCATACTTGCTGTACTGTACCATGAACTTTGGTAGGAGTGTGCATGCTACGGTTTTCAAATGAAACTTAAAAGAGTGGGACGTGGGAACCAAGCTCCCTTAAGCTTCACTGAAAACCCTTGTCTCAGTGTTTTGAAGAAACAGCTTTTTATTGCATAGTTGTATTTTACCTCAAAATTGTAGGAGGTTGGGTGTCTGGCTTGAGATCTACCACAAATGAAACTGACCTCATCATAACCCTTCAAAATCCCAGCAACCCAACAGTCTGCATGAGAAACTGCCACAAATATTTTGGCAACATTTACCAGTCTGAAAGTCAGGGCTGCTAGGGCTGACCTAGCATGAAGACTGAACCACATGTCAAGCCATAATTCTCTTCCTCCTTCCAAAACTGCAATTGTCTCAAGTTTTTTAAACCACAACCCAGTGTCTTAAGTCCACTAGTGAATGTTAACAAAGCCTTGACCTGCAGAATGCTAATTTCCACTGGGACCATTAAAGGAAAAAACCTTTTCTATAAATGCTGGATTCCGTAAACTGGGAACTTTATCACCGCAGCATCCAGAGTAGGATAAAAAGTGCCACTAATGGAATCCAAAACCCTTTATTAGGGGTAAGATTCTGCCTCCAGAGTCAGGTAACAGAGGGTGGAGACAGCACAGTTTGAAAAGTTTTAGTTGGGAATGAAAAATCCCATCCATAGACTTTGTCTATGGTACTGAATCCTCTAATAAGCTACATTCTTGGTCTGTCTCTCAAAACTAAGAGGACTCTAGTTTATAGCATTACGCCAGAAGGAACTGCAGTGGCATTTATCCCCTGTCTTTTTGGAATTGCACAGAAAAAGGGAGAGATCCCAAATGCTGCATGAAAAGAACAGAATTCAGTGCTTTTTTCCCCCCAACAGAGTGCCCTTATCACCAGAATTTCAGTTATACAAAAAGAGAAATATTTTTCTTCTCTCTCCCTACCCTACTACACCCTTTGCTCACATTCCATCCTCAGGCTGGTGCAGGAAAGATGATACCCCAGCAGATAGAACTCAGGGAGCACAAAAGGTATTGAAATTTGAATCCAAGAGTGGATTCATCAGGGAAATGGATGCTTTTGCTTCCTCTTCTGTTTTAGCCCACGCATGATCTGATGCGGTTCATATTTCAGCTTTCCAATCTGCCTTTCTTCAGCTCGAGGCTGCAGCTATCACTCTCCTGCACTGTGTTCTCAGTTGCTAAGACCATTATCTGATGGATGAGGAGGAGGTTCTGTTGCCTGTATTTGCTTCTGCAAGAACAGAGATTATAGTAGCTGGAGGTTGCAGTTGGATGATGCTTGACTTTGCTGATACAAGCTAAAATGGTTAACCTTGTGCAATTTATACATACAGCACCAGATACGTTGGAAGTTTCCTCTGAAAGGTAGATATCTCCTTATCAGGCACTGTGTAGGACTTACCACATAACAGATTTGAACACAGTCATAAAAATTGTCTTTACATCCTCTTTTAAGCACCTTAAGTCCTATTTTAGATCTGACTCTAGGCAACTAGGAATAAGAAAGCTGCCTGCAGAACTAACATTAATTTCATGTCCTCAGCATTTGGTTTTGACAACAGAGTGCTTAATTTTTTTGGCATCTTTGAAGATGTCTCCTGATACTTTTGTGTCTGAGTTCTTGTGACCACTGCTGCTAAATAAAAGGCTTGAAATTTGCAGAAATTTAACCTAGAAATGTTTTCATTATTATCTTTGTCTTTAAACTGACATCACAGCTTCATAAGTATAAGAAAGTAATTAAAACTTAACTTTTTTTCTTTCAAGAAACCCTACAGAGGACCTAACGTGAAGTACAGGTAACAGAGAAAACCTAAGTAAAAGCCAGGACTTAACACCTCATTCATTAAAATCTCTGAAATGCTTGGAATTTAATGCAGAGAAGTCTCCTTTTCACCATGATTATGTGAAAGACCAGAATAAAACAGAGTTAAATGGGGCAAATATATAAATAAGAGAACCTACACTTTGTGGTAACTTTACTTACTATCTAAATTATATATTTCCTTTGAATGTTTCTTTTTTCCCTTCTTGAGACAGATGGAATAAATTAATCTTAAATGCAGCAAAAAAATCTATTCCAGATCCCCTCATATGCCAGTGTTTAAACATAACTAACTAGAATAATAAAAGTCAGAGATGGAAAAGATCTATTAGCTGACCACCTAAAATTTTATATACAGAAATGTATCAATTTAACTCAACCTATTTCTAAATACTTAAGGGAGTCTGGTTACATCTTAAATCAGCTCAATGGTGGCTAGAGTCAGTTTATTTCACTTTGAAATCACTCTTAAAAGCAAATGGAAGTGACCTGTTCTTAAGCATAGTTGCACTAGCTAAATAAATGAATGTGTGTAGACTAAGGATCAGAGAGACAGACAGGTCTGCCCAATTCTGGTAACAGAGACTATCACATACCTTCTTTGGGGGGCTCAGAGTCGTCCATGGCCATTGCAGTGATGGAGAATAAAATGTCTACTCAAAATAGAGGCCCAAGTTGGGAATCAAGATATACTGAATTGTTGTCTCAGTTTTGCCTCTCTCTAGCCTTGGGGAAATCTCTTAATGACACACTAGGTCTGAAAACACATTAATGCCTCCTACCTGAATATGATTATTCAAATACTAGCAAGCTGGGTACCAGACAGGCATGGCATTTTGGTCGCAGTCCTAAAAGAAATTGTATGAATTTAATTTTGTGACTAAATCGTTCTTGATGGCAGTTTACCATTCACGAAGGATAGAAGAGTTTGTTTCCGTATGTTCTGAATTACTGTGTAGGTGCCTGTACAGGACTATACTGTATGAGCTCTATTTATAGTCTTCTCTCCAAACTAGCATTTAACAACTTGCTAGGGGAGGGATGGAAGAGGAATTGTAATTAAGGGGTCTTATTCCATACCTAAAGCTTTATATTTATGGGAACGTTAATGTAAAATCCTCCACATAAAATGAGAAATCATTTATCTGCTTTCAAAATGACATGCATGCAAACCTAACCAGACAGTCAAAACAGATCAAACACCAACTTTCCTATGTTATGATTTTTTTTCAAAATCTTCATGAACTTCAGTAGAGGTTGAAAGTTTCCTCTGAAGATCTCTGGACACAAAGTGGTCTGACCTTCTGTGATGCTGAGAGGCTACAAGACAGCACACGAGTTCAGTGTCTCTCCTAATAAAGCAGTGGGAATTCACTAGTTTCATAAAAAGCATTTTGGAGTTTAGTACTCATTTGTTGTTCCACAACACCTTGACAGCTCTTCCCAAGGTGTTTTCTTTTTCTTTGATTCCACAATGGTCCTTCTCATATCTAGATTATTTTAGAGAACTAGGACCATACACTATTACAGACAGCAGTAGCATGAACTACACCCAGGCTGTTAAACAATGCTAGATGTCACTATTTGTGCTACTACATACAACTTGACAGGTCACTGACAAGCTTGAAATGAGGGGAGGGATATCAACGCCATGCAACGTAGAGATACATATAAAAGTACTGGTAGCAAACTAAACCAGTCTAGCACTTCTTATGCTAATGAATATTTTTATAATCTGGTCAATTTTATGTCTTAAATGTTGAGATTTTCACTAGTTTTCTTCCTTCTTGTAAGATACAAATAATAAAAAGTAGAAGAAAAAACTTTTTATTCAAAAACTTTTTATTCATTATTTTTACTTCTGATCACTTTCTGCAGCTTCTAGAAATTTGGTAGTTGTTAGAGATTTTTGAAGAGAAAATTCCAATTCATCAAAGCATTTTCCACAACACATGAATGGAAGAGGTTTCCAGTTGTGGGGTAGATTTAATTATCCCACAACATCTAGATTGTAGGGAACACAGAGCACCCCATGCCAGTTTTGTGCTAGAAGCTGATTCAGAAGAGACAGAACTGGTATCCCAGCTTGGAGAGACAAGGTAACAAATCAGTTCTGTCACCTCCTTTTGTAAAATCTGCCACAGTCTGAATGAGCAGATCAAGGGAAGACTGATTTTTTTTTTTTAGCAAGATCTTGGTTCACACCTACATGGGTGGATATTTGTATTTATGCAAGTGATGGAGAAAGAGAGGTGTTCACCTCCAAATACAAAACAAGCAGGCATGCACGACATGAACAGAATATGGGAGCTCACCCACAACTGTTCCCTGCATTCTCATATTATTGACAATACAGTCAGCTGTCCTACATCAGCATTTCTTCACAGGCAGCATTCAAAATGCTCCTTTTGCAACATTACAGAAACTCTCATAAGATTGGAAAATCATCCCCTGCCCGGTTTTGTGTGTAATTTCAAAATTATTGTATTCAATGTAATGAGCAAGTGCCAGGCAGCACTGAAGGAGGGAGACTGGAGAAAGCTCAGCACAGTGAAAGACTTCAAATTAAAAGGCTGTAACAGGGAAATGTTCCAAAACCGGACGGATAGTGAGGACGTCCATACGCCCAACAGACTCTCTTGACTTGCGCTGAATATGGGGCGCCGCACCTTTAGCCCATCTTCCAACTGGAAATGCGAAAAGTGATAGAGTGGAGGTGCTGAAGTAGTTTCTGAAATACGAGTCCCTAAACCCCGTGTCCACGCGTGGATGAAAGGTCTTCTCTGCGGGCCGGGAGTGTTTCGAGGGGAGCGGGCGAGGCGGGCGGCGCTTTCCCCTCGGAGCGGGCGGCGGGAGGGCGGTGGCAGCGGGGCGGAGAAGGGGAGGCCGGGCCGGAGGAGCGGCCCCGAGCCCCGGGCGGGCCGGCCGGTGGCGGCGGGCGCTGTCTCTCACACTCGGCGAGCGGTGGCGGCAGAGGCGGTCGCGGCGGCCGCCGCTCCCAGCGGGAGGGCGGGCTGGAGCCCTCCCCACCGTGCCGCCGCCGCCATGGAGAAACAGCCTGGCGGCGAGGACGACTGCGTGGACTCGGGAGCGGAGACGGGCGGGTGAGTGGCGGGAGTCGCACCTGCCCCCGGGCCGGGGGCGCTGCGGGGCTCCCGCGCAGGCCGTGGGGCTGCACTTGTTGCCGGCGGCCGTCGCTCAGTGCGTCCCGGCAGCGGCGGGGCTGGGGCGGCGAATTCGAGTGCCCGGCACGGCTGCCCCCCTACAGAGGGGGCCTGCGCCCCGGCACCATCCCGCTCAGCGCCGGGTCTCCTTGCTTTGCCTCTCCTCTCCCCTCCCATCCCGGGGCTGGGGGTCAGCTGTGACCCCGCGGGGAGCGCGCCTGCCGCGGGGCATCACACTGCTGGGGCAGCCCCGGGGATTTCACATACCCCTTCGGTGGAGGTCCCCACCGCCCTCTTGCTACACGTGGGGAGGAAGACGCGAAGAGATCGTGGCCATGGGCTTCAAGTTTGAGCTCCAAAGGACGTTGTGCTACCTCAGCTGTGAGGCCCAGCGGGCTGTAGACGCACTGGTTAGGGCTTGGTGCCCCACCATCCCTGTATCCTAGGGATAGTGCGGCTGGAGATAGTCTGGAAGCTTGCCCAGGTACCTGTACTGTCCTTCAGGCAGTGACACCCGGACAGCATCAGGCAGAGAAAGCTGATTCCTTAGAACTACCATTAGAGAGCCACCTGAAAAGCAAGATAGATTTGTAGGCTTCCTGAAATTGAGTTGTTTCTGTCATGATACTCATCGTGATACTTGTCGCGATACTCATAATTTTGAGTAAACTTTAGTGTCATATCAGAATCAAGGAGAAAGACTTTTTTTCTGACTTCGTGACCCTACTGCCAGAGGTGTGCTATGTTTGTTAGTTGGATTGCTTCTCCTAAGTTCATGGAGCTGCAAGTGTGATCCATGGTGTCTGCTATTCAGCTTGCACCTTCGGCCCATCTCTGCTGGAGAGAGAGAGGAAAGTGCTTTCCAGCCCATCCTACATGCTGCTGCCATGGCATCTTGTCAGGAATGGCAACAAGCCTTTGCTCCTTCTCTGTCTCCAGATGGGCAAAAGAAGGTTGCATGCTCCTGTTAAGGTTGTACTTTCCTGAGTCTTCATTCTCCTCCGTTCTTGCTCTCCCAGTTGTTATTCTCCAACTTCTTGTCTCATGTATCTCCTTTGGCCTCTAGTCTAACTGTTGCAAAACTGTAAAGCTAATTCTTTTTACAGTGGTGTCAGGAGCACAGTACTAAAACCAAAGCAATATTACAAATAAAAAACAAAAAGGTGAAAATTGAATGTGGTAATTTTTTTCATATATCCAGTTATTAATTCAATTTTTTTTTAATCTCTTCTGTAGTCTAAGGACTTTTTCCATAACTTTGTATGGTGGGCACACCTAATGGTGAAAGTCATGTGACATGAACTTAAAGGAAAAAATTCAGGCCAGTTTTCCAAATATTGATTAGTCCCCTTTGGGGAACCTGGTTAAAAGGAAGACAAAGTAATCAGTGAACTCATGGCTAGTTCAAAGCTCAAAAAACCCTTATGGGTCAAGTCACTCTTAATTTGCTGTGTTTACCTTTAATAGAAAAACCTCGGTTTCCTTGGGACAGGCACTTGGAAGGATTTGACCCAGCTGGTAACATTAGCCTTTAGACCTCAGTGGCCAGCATGACAGCTGCTTGTGCCTGGCATTGATGCGGTGCTAAAGCTGATGATTTTATGAAGCATCTCTCTCCCATGCTTGACACTGGAGACTGGAGGTTGGTGTTAGAGTCTGTCTGAGGAATTTGAACAGTGACATATGGCAATTAATAATTGCAGTGCTTTGCACTGATGTATATTTTGAAAAGCATTAATGGGTCTCTGCATTTCAATTATTATTTTTAGTTCTATTTAGCAGCTATTTAACTCTAATAAACATGTTGCGTATGTCTCTTTCACAATGTTTATATTTCAGCTTTCTCACCAAACCAACTGTTCACAGCACTTGCTTTTCCCTCTTACCAGAAGATCTGCTATTTGCTTTGTCTCAGTCCCCTCACAGCTATTGCTAAATTGAGCTGTTTTCCTTTTTCTCCAGTTACTCAATGGTTAAAAAAAAAGTATAAGGAGAAACAACTGTCAGAGTAATTCAGTAACAGTTTTATGTCGAGTGGTCCCTTTCTGTCACTCAGGGAACAATAGTGGATAGTGACTCTAGTAAATCCAGGCACTGCAAGCCCTTGTCATCTCAATGACTGTATGTAATGATGTATGAGCTCTAATATGGAGCCTGTACTGCTGAAGCTGCTTACAGCAGCTACCAAATTGAACATATCAAGTACTCCACAGGGCATATGTTGCTTGAGGTTTTGTTGTGGCTGCCAGCCACAAAAGCAGGCAAAACTCTGTGCTAAAGGCAAGATCAATTACAATTTGAAGACTTCATTTTCCTCATCCGTTGGAAAATATGTTCCTCCTACTGCATTTGCCTTGGTAAATAGGGTTGGCAAAGAGTCTGATGAACAAAAATAGCATATTTTCAGTTCCTGAATCCAATAAGAATGGATTGAGCTGGTGTTGTCAAGTACCTAAATAAAGAGTGTAGAACATATAAGCCAATTAGTTTATATTGGCTGTTTATTAATGAGATTTGAAATTGTTTGTCCATTCTTGGCCTGAGAGACTCTGCCTGTACAAATTGTATCTTCTTGGGAAACGCATTTTGGGGGGTTTTAGTATAAAAACCTAATTTCATCTGCTACTGAAAACTTTCAGCCCAAAAGTATGGGGGATAGAGCTTTCTCTGGTAATAATTTTAGTAGTGGATTTGTATTATAAAACATGACATTTTAGGAAGATTAGAACAGTCTTTCTTTGGACTTTTATTAGAAAGTGAACAGAGAGGAAAAATAAGTGGAAGAAAGACATTGAAGGGAGGAGAAATATGTAAGTTTACAGAATTGTAGTTAACTGGGAAAGAAAACCAAACAAGCGAGGAAAAAAAATACTAAGTTACTTAAAATTAATTGTAGAAATCTGAATTTTAAAATTTTCTTCATTTTACAAGCCATGCAAATGCGGTCATTTCACTCTTTAGAAAAGAGCAAAGGGGTTTGGGGGCTAAAACACTCAAGACAACAAACTAAGACAATTTTTGAAGTTGTTAGGCATGCCTAATTTTGAAGCAGATTCTTGCTACCACTAATATCGAGCGCAAAGCATCTGCTGAATTCTCTGTATTCAGAACTGATATCCCAAGTGATACATAATGAATATAGAAAATGGGTATTTTCTCAGTTCTAAAGTTCTTAATTTTTTATTCCTGAACTTTTATTGGCTCGTGTTAGTTGTGTTCAAGGATTGCTTCTGTAGGAATGCTCTCCCCTGTTTATCAAGCAAACATGCATTAACAGAGCATAACACTTCGGTAAGATAGCTGGCATTAATGAAGATTTCAGCATATGTGACAATTCCCAGCAGAAATTTACTTGTTCACTTAGACAGCTGTAAGAGCCCAGGCCTTAAAAGGTTCACACTTTAATCATTAGCTTACTTATTGTTTCAATTTTTACCTAAATACATAGGTTTTTTTCTTCACTTTAAAGTCATTTAAAGTTTTCAGAAGTTGTAACTTTTAATTTGAGTTTGCAATTTTCCACTTATATTTCCATTACTCTTTGGTTACAGTTAATACTCATGGTGCTTGTTCCCTCCTTTACATTTTCGTCTGTGTTTCTGTTCCTCAAATTAATTTTGCAGAGATTATGTTAATTTTTCAACTGTGCTATATTTGTTTGTTGGTTTTCCTTATGGCTCTCACTAGCTGTATGTGTGATCCTGGCCAAATTGCAAATTATTTGAGCCTCTGTTAACTTATCTCTTAAGCAGATTATGTGTGAGATTCTAAAGCAGAAAATACAATTGTTAATAGAAGACAAGGAAGCCTATATAAAAAAAAAGGTGTTCCTTACTTAAAGGTAAAATACTAAGAATACTGTATTGTGTGTCCTCAGTCAGAATGGGTTGATTAAATTATCAAATGAATAGTAGAATGGTTGGGGTGAGAGGTTGTTTTCATGTCTCGTGTTTCTAGCTTAAAGGGATTCAACATTATGACTTTGTCATCTGTATGGTAGTCCTTCAAAATGACATGTCAGTCTCTTGTCACATATTTCATCCATCTATGAGAAACTCCCAGGAACACAAACCAAGGCCCCTTTTTTTTCAAGGCCTATTTTTACCTTGGGACTTCTTTTGTTTTTTGCTGAGACTTTCACTTTATGTAGACACATCAGTCCAGATATGTCATGGTACTCAACTTGTCTCTGATTTGACATTGGAATAATGTAAAGTTGAGCTGCTTATCACAAATCGGGGTTGAAGCACCATTTCTAACCAGATTTACTCACTGGAATGAAACTGTTTGGTTGAACCTCAGGGCAGGCACACCTGCAAGTGCCTGGCACTGGGGCTAGGTTCTGAAAGCAAGGTTGAAACAGACTTTAAATCACATTCTGGTGGCCATGGGCTCTGTGCTGACACCCCTGATGGCTAGGTCCCAGCAAGCAGTGAGGTTCACTGCAGCGGTGTGTATGTTCGATGTTTGGTATAAATTCAGCTTCTTCTGTTGCTAGTTAAGAGAACGAGGACCTTGGGAAGATGACCGAGCCTGGCTTTGGATATGTGGATACGTGACACCTGATCTGTCCCTCTGGGAGTACTCAGTGAATGAGTGGTGAGCAGAGTGTGCAGGCAAGTGTGTTCACTAAAGCACTGAGTGGTCCTGCCTCGTCAGATGCTTTTTGGAAGATTACAAACAACCTTTCATTCTTATATGATAATGATGATGATGTCTCTCATGTGGAGTCGCAAACATTACTGCTGGTAATAAGCTCCTGAGTGTAATGGTTAGGGCTGCACGATGGGAATCCGTCATCTGACTTTATCACTCTGCTAGAATTCTAGAGCAAGGATTTTGAGACAAGTGACTCTGAATTATTCCGTTTCAGTCATCTTGATTACACGAGTAGAAGTACAATGAAGGTAAGAGATTTGCATTGGACTGGTATTAGTGAA